CGCGGTTCAGCGATGAGGTCGACCAGAAGACCGGTTATGTGACCCGCAATATGCTATGCAATCCCATTCTGGACATATACGGCCAAGTGATGGGTGTGGCCCAAGTGATCAACAAAACGGGAACTCCGTGTTTCACGGAGAAGGACGAGAATGTGTTTTGGCAATACTTGCAGTTCTGTGGCATTGGTCTTCGGAATGCCCAGTTGTATGAGAGGTCACAGTTGGAGAACAAGAGGAATCAGGTGCTGCTCGACTTGGCCCGCATGGTCTTCGAGAAGCAGTCAAACATCGAGAACATAATCTATAGGATTCTCCTTCACATTCAATCACTACTGCAATGCGCCAGGTAATTATGCTCAAGGCACTAATGCAATGAGTAGTGCCTTATGACACTGTATTATGATTACGATTGTTGTTTCATTGTCATTCAAATGCTATTCAATTAGGTGTCAGGTTTTACTATTGACTGACAGTAACCAAGATAATGATGTCTGTCTGGATGACAGCACCGACACGTTACTGTCCAAATCAGACGAGTCAATAGTGGAGAGTTTAGACGATTCTAATAAATTTCGAAGTTTTTGTCGAGTTTTCNAAATGCTATTCAATTAGGTGTCAGGTTTTACTATTGACTGACAGTAACCAAGATAATGATGTCTGTCTGGATGACAGCACCGACACGTTACTGTCCAAATCAGACGAGTCAATAGTGGAGAGTTTAGACGATTCTAATAAATTTCGAAGTTTTTGTCGAGTTTTCGATCTCGAGGCCGAAGATCTCGGTGATAGCCAAGAGGGCGAGACAAGGCTGAGCCCATTCGAGGGTCGGTTCCCAATCAATATAGGAATCACGGGATACGTGGCCACAACCGGCGAGACACTCAATATAGCCGATGCCTACGAAGACCCCCGATTTGACCCCTCCGTAGACAATGACAGTCATAAGGGCTTCCGGACGAAGCAGATCCTATGTATGCCTATACGCGATGCCGACCACAAAATCATTGGCGTCTCTCAACTCATTAATAAACTCAATGAAAGACCGTTTAATAAGAACGACGAGAACTTGTTTGAAGTGAGTTTCCAATCAATCACTGCTTTTGTTTTCACTTATTCTGCTTCTCATACCAAACATAACATATAGTCTACAGTAGTGTCGAGGAACAGTAGTTTAGAGTACAATAATCAATGTACGGCATATAGTTTATAGTTGATATATAATAGTTGTGTTTTGTTACGAGAATTTGTCTCAACGATTGATCCGTTGATCGATATATTGATTTGTTTGGTTTCATACGGTTGTGATGTGTTTGGTTGTAGGCCTTTGCCATCTTCGCGGGGATGGGAATCGCCAACACATTGCTGTACGAGAAGGCAATTAAAGCGATGGCCAAACAACGGGTAACCCTCGAAGTGCTCTCATATCACGCCTCAGCTCAAGAAGAAGAAGCCCTCAAAGTCTCCGTAAGTCTATTATGCAGTC